TATATATATACTGTATACTGTATATGCTAAAATAAACTACTACTTACTATTTGTAGTACTATTCCTACTTTGTGGTTTTTCACTTATCGCAGGGCTGCAGGGTACAGTTCCCTCGCGATAAACGAGGGACTACTGCACACTCAATGGCAGGAGAAAAATTTAAGATGGGATTTTACTTGCAAGGTCAGGTTTTCTGGACAGGTTACATAAATATACATTTACAATAAGACTAAAAAATATATATTTACAGTATACAATAAGACCCATCACAAGAATCTGCCTAGAGCTGCCTTCTCCACTTGCTTTTATATCATTATCATCTTATCAGTTCAGCTGAGTTCATGGAGCTCAGGAAGGATTCTTGGCTGCAGTCTTCTCATCCAGTGCTCTCCATTAATCCAAACATATGGTTCATGGGCAGAGATAAGATAGTGTCTTGGGAGATGGTTTTCTTGGACTTCTTGTTCTCAGCCATTGTAATAGAAATACCTATAAACATCTATTAACCTTGGATCAACAATGCTCTGACAGTTTGCTTTTGGCAACAGTATCATAACTCAACAAAACCTTTTTTGCTGTTTAAATTGATTGTAGTAAGAAATAGATGTAATTGAGTTCCACATAATAATGGAGTTGTATGTCCTTTTTTTCTTCAGGTCCTGGTGCAATGCATGACGTTAATGGGACTGCCATGGTGCCCCATCATTCTTTATCCCTTCTGCTGACAGGGATCCTATTCTACCTGCTGAAGTTCTGATGCAAAAAGTGTTCAGCACTTTAAGACAAGACCATTAGTCATAAAAGCAAAATTGGAAACCAAGATTGCTTCTGGATACTTTGTTTTTTTCTTATTTTCCCCCCGTGGGCTTTACATCAGAGTCTGTTCCCTGTTGGCTCCCTAAGATTGGGAAAAACAGAAAGTTTAATCATGCACTAGCTTATGATGTTAGAAATACAGTTTGTGTCGACCAAATCTTTTTGTATGTGAAAAAGAAAAGACAAAGTGTGTAACTGTTGATAGTTGACTGTTTATTGCCCAATTTTAAATATAAATTCCCAATATTACTGTGAATGTGTCACAAGGTAAATATATGTAAAGTTTTTTTATAAGCAAATAACAAAAACAACAGAAAATATTGCAATGTGATTGTTGAACTTTACTGTATTTTTACAGTTGTATGCAAAACAGAAAAACTGATCTTTCTAAATGAACAGTTCAGAAACAAACCCCATTAATTTCTCAGGCAAAGTCCTTTATTATAGCGTGTCAGATGTCAGATCTATAGCTCCATCATAGTGTGAAATAAAATATAAAAGTAACTAATTATTTTCTGCAATATTTATGAAAATCCAGTCATTGTTGATATGACATTTTGAAATCACTGTCTTACAGTGACATAGCAGCTCCAAGGTCTATACAGATTTGTACAGAATTATAAATGAATAAATAATTAAACAATTAAATTGCATGAGATGTGTGCATAGTAAATACCTGTTTGGCACATCCTAGTGTTGGTGCTCATTGGCTCATTAAAGTGTCAGTACTGTGCACTAGAGCTGGGCGATATGGACCAAAATTAATATCTCGATATTTTAAGACAATTCGCGATATATGATATATATCTCAATGTTTTTTTCTTTCCATAAAGTAATAACAAAAATATATTTCTGAGTCAAAGCTTTGTCCCAGCTGTCACACTGGCACATTTATTAACAACAGCTGTAACTGTACAAAATAAATGTAAAAAAAAAAAAAAAAAAACATTTACACATATTAAATAGTTTTGTTTTTTTTTACATTTGTTTGTACGTAATAATCATCTTCAGCTGGGGGCAGCTGTGGCTGAGAGGCTAGAGCAGTCGTCCTCCAATGGGAGAGTTGTTGGTTCGATTCCACCAGCAGTCACATGCTGAAGTGTTCCTGGGCAAGACACTGAACCCCTCATTGCCTCTGATGTGTGTCCCATCAGTGTATGAATGTGATAAAGCTCTGATTGTTCTTTGTAGAAATCTAGTAGAGTGTGTGAATGGGTAAATGATGGCACAGATTTTGTTGTAAAGAGCTATGAGTGTCTTGACAAGATAGAAAGGTGCTATATAAGTACAGTTCATTCAGCTACCCGCCTTCACGTTAGTAAGCATGTGTGAACTGTAGTAAAGTGAGCCTCCACTTGGAACCATGAATCTGCAGGTCCAAGTGTGTTTTCATCCTCCTTCCCTGAAACAAAGCACAGCCCAGAACTCATTTAGCTATGTTGTGCCTTATGAGAGGAACACTGTTCCTGGAACAGTGAGAGGTGGCACTGCAACATTAATAAAGCAGCAGCTTATCATATCGCTAAAGACACGGTCCCAGTCTCAGCTGTGGAACAAGACGACTAAAGCATTAGCTGTCTTGTTGGCCGCTAAGGACCTTGTCTTTAGCGATATGATAAGCTGCTGCTTTGTTAATGTTGCGCTCTCACTGTTCCTCTCATAAGGCGCAGCACGGCTAAAAGAGTTCTGACCCATGGTTTGCTTCAGGGAAGGAGGCTGAAAACACACTCGGACCTGCAGCTGCAGTTCACACGCGTTCAAACTCCACTTTAAATGGTGAAAAAGATTCATAGTTCCGATCTTTTGTTGGGACTTGTTTTCATCATCGTCTACAGAAATCATCTTTCTGCATCTGACAATTTAAATCCAAATCATCTCTGAAAGAGCAGTCATTGTTTTTCTTTTTGTTCAGGAGCTAAGCTGCTCTTCATATCTCCCCCATGGTTCCTTGTTGTGCTAAACGTCTCCCACCCATCTCCTGGAAAAGCAAGAAGGAGGGGAGCGTGTCTGAGGGGCTGGGTTTATATTCAAGGAGGGAGAAGGAGGGGCTGCGTGGGAGAAAGACAGCAGGATGATTTCAAAGTATAAAACTATATCGTTTTAAATTGATATAGTCTCAAATTATATCACAAAAAAATAATATTGATATTTTTAAAATATCGAGATACATTGTCACCCAGCTCTATTGTGCACCAAACAAACGTATTTCATTCACAATCAGGAATTCAACTTTTACATGTAGACAGAGGAATAAAATGAGTGTTTTTACAACTTTCAGCTTGCATTTAAGAACAGGCTAGAATTGTCATTTTGTGGCACTGATGCAGTCCTTCCTCTCCACTTATATCTGTTTTGATCATACACATTTATATACATGAACATTATTTGTTTTGTCTGATAAATTTATGCAGAACTATTTTATTGTAATGTGTAAAACTCGGGTGAACATAATTCATTAGACCATTGTACGTTTTAATGGTTTTTTTCTCCAAAGCCTTCACAGATTACCAGTCCATATTGTCTCACAGACAATAGAAATAAGAGAGAAAAATATTCCTTGCAGCTGCTATGAAGTGTTTGTCATCTGTTCTGAATGTGTGCTCCTAACCTGATGTGCCTGTCAGAAACACTGGAGGATGTTCTTGTAGCTGATTGACAGTTTTGGTCCACTGCTTGGAAAACAAGACAGAATTTTCTGTCAGACAATTTTTTAGTGTCAAGAAAAGACTAGAAGAAGTGATTGCTAACGTGACATCCTCCTATTGTCACATTTATTTTTCTGCAAACCTATATCTAAGATATGTGTTGAGGACAAAAACATCTGGATGAAACTGATCTGACATATTTTATGTATTCAAATTGTGCTTGTGATGATGATAATGAACAGTCAGTTGAAAACTAATGTGTCCATAAAAAAAATCCAGTCATTCTATTTTTTTTTTAAATACCATTTGCTTTATTTAAAGCTTTTTTACTTAAAAAAAAAAAAAGAAACAGCCAAAAAAAGTGTTTCTTCTTCCTCTTCTCTCAGCTGTTCCCTTTCATGGGTGGTCACAATGAGGTTTCCTCCTCCATCTCACTCTGTCCTCTGTGTCCTCTGTCCCCACTTTAACTCCGTGTCCTCCAGAACCAGAGGCTGCTAGGGACAGGCGCTCCTTAAAAACCTATTTGCCCCACAAAGTACTTACTATATAGTAAAGTACGTATTACTTCTTAATCATACTTACATATTTATGGAGTTTACTGTGCATTGTTGTGTTCTCTGTATTTTTCAACAATTTTGTTAATTTTAAATTGATTTTTAAACGATTTTTTTAAAGATTGCCTCAGTTTTATTTACCGTTATGGGACAGTATCCCACCGTTCAGTGATTTTCTTTGGTCAAGCAGATCCAAATGTGTCCAAACAGGCAGCTCCAATAGAATTTCATTTGGGATGTCAGATTTTCTGCCCTGTGGACACATTTGGCTGATTGTAGCACCTTGATACAACCACTGCTAACACTAGACCTGTGAGCTCAACACCTGAAGGGCTGCAGTAAAACCTGCTTAGTCCAGCAGTGGAGATATTCTGTTCAAATCCATTTGGCTGATTTTGTTATACATTCAAATTATTGCCAACCCAGGGTCCAGTCCAGGAAGCAGAGCTGTAGTCCTCCACCCCTCTCTGCTGCTTCTCCTCTGTTACCCACCCACACCCACATTGAAACCGTGTCAACTCGCCCACGGCTCAAATTAAATAAACCAAAAATCAGCTCTAAATATATAAACCATAAAAATCTGATTAAAATAAACAGTTACTTTACAGGAACAAAATAGTAAAATCATAATAATAATAATAATACTTTATTTGTATAGCACCTTTCAAACAAATGTTACAAAGTGCTTCATATTAATCAATTAAAACATCATAAATGACATCAGAAACACAAAAGTATACCAAATCAATTAAAATAAAAACATAAAAAAAGAAAGAAATTCAAATATTAAAGCCTTATAAACAAGTAAGTTTTAACTAATGATTTAAAAGAAAACAATGAAGAGGCCTGTCTAATATTTAAAGGAAGAGCATTATTATCAGATCTCTTTCCTCTAAATCCCTGTTAGTTAATGAACTGATAACTGATCATCATATTGATTTATTGTGTCTGACAGAAACTTGGCTACAACAGGAGGATTTTGTTGGTATAAATGAATCCACTCTTGTTAATTATTTAAATTTTCATGTTCCTAGAACAACTGGCCGAGGTGGAGGAGTAGCTTCTATTTTTCAGTCAGGATTATTGATTAATGCCAAACCAGTTATTAGTTATGATTCTTTTGAATCACTGTCCCTCAGTCTTTCTCATCCAAAACGGAAATCAGAAAAGCCACTTTTACTAGTTGTTATATATCGTCCACCAGGAGCTTACTCTCAGTTTTTGTCTGAATTCTCAGAATTATTAACTGACTTATTATTAAATACTGATAAAATCATCATAATGGGTGATTTCAATATTCATGTAGATGTTGAGAGTGATAGCTTAAGCATAGCCTTTAATAATTTAATAGAGTAATTTGGTTTTATCCAAAACGTCCGCACATCTACTCATTCTTATCATCACACTCTTGATTTAGTTCTGACCTATGGTGTAGAGATTAAGGACTTGGTAATAGTTCCTCAAAATCCTATTCTGTCCGACCATTTTTTAATAACTTTGAGTTTACATTAAATGACTACACAGTCACTGAGAGTAAAGTTCATCTCAGCAGGTGCTTATCAGAAAATGCTGTAACCAAATTTAAACGATCTCTTCCATCAATGTTTTCCTCTGTCTTGCAGAGTAATGCATCAGAGAACAGAGACTTATATCATCTAGTTGATCATCTTACAACTTCAATGTAAATTTTACTTGATAAAATTACACAGCTGAAAAAGAATAATCAGTCAGAGGAGACTGGC